ATTACAACCACAAGCACAGCTGGAGATGAGGTTGGAATATTCTCTGTTCATGCTCAGACTCTTCATATTCACACCTCTTCTTTCTTCCCACAGCTCCTGGGCAATATGATTGTGATTGTGATGGCCCATCACCTGGGCAAGGATTTCACTCCAGAGGCACAGGCTGCTTTTCAGAAGGTGGTGGCTGGTGTGGCCAATGCCCTGTCTCACAAATACCACTGAGCTACCTTTCCTGCTACCTATCTCATACAAAAGGCCTTTTTCCCCAGAGAACAACTGCTAAATATTGGGGAACTTATGAAGGCCTTTGAGCATCTGGTTTCTGCCTAATAAAATCAGTTTTCATTGCAATGGTGTACATTATTTTTGTGTTTATTCATGAAGGTATGTGGGAAGACAAGGCATTTAAGACATAAAGAAATGAGCTCTAGTTCAGACCGTGTGCTAATACACCTCTCTCTTGTACTCCATGAAAGAAGGGAGACTGTTAATAATTAATGTGGGAATTTTTTTGCTTTCTATTCCTTAGTCACCACTCATAAAATGATTTCAGTGAATTTTTTTGGTTTAAGGGTTAGGTTTTATTTATTTTTTATTMCTTATTTTCCCCAGCCTTCCTCATGAGTTTCTCTTCTTTCACCAGTTTCTTCCCCAGAACTTCACAGCCTTAGTCCACCCAGTTCTCCTGCTCATAGATTCCACTCCTCCCCAAGAGTTCTGCCTAATAAAATCATTTTTTTTGTTGCAATGGTGTATGATATGTTTGTGTCTTTCTTTCATGGGGGAAAGGGGAAAGACAAGGCATTTAAGACATAAAGGGCTTAGTTCAGACCTTGTTCTAATACACCTGAATCTTGGACTCTATGAAAGAAGGGAGACTATTAAGAATGAATGTATGTGGGAAGCTTTCTGGTTTCTAGTCCTTACTCACCACTCATAAAAGGATTTAAGTGAAACTTTGGTTCAGGGGTTAGGTTTTTGTTGTTGTTTTTTTTAATTACCTATTTTCTTTAGCCTTCCTCATTAGTTTCTCTTCTTTTGTTTAGAGTGTTTTTTTATATCTTCACTTTTATTTATTTATTTTTGTGTGCTGCTGAGGATCAAACCTAGGGCCTCACACAAGTGAGGCAAGCGCTCTTTTGCTGAGCCACAACCCCAGCCCCAGTTTCTCTTCTTTATCTAGTTTCTTCCCCAGACCTCATAGCCTTAGTCTACCTAGTTCTCCTGCTTATAGATTCCACTACTCCTTAAGGGTTTCTTTCATGTTATACTGGACCCATTGCTCCTTTTCTCCTATTGGCTCTATTTGCCTGTATTGTCTCAAAAAAGATCTGTCTGGGGAAGGGTAAATAGAARGAGGTGGTTTGGCCACTGTATCTTTGTGAAATTGTTCCCTATCTCTATCATTAGTGGTGACCAAAAATCTGCAATGCTGGTCTCCCTGGAGCCTTCACTGTTCCAGAGCCTGCATTGGAAGGACTAGGCTGTCAATGTACAATGACTGTTGGGCTCAGGGGGCTTTTTGTGGCTTGATATTTATTGTTACCTTACAACCTTTAGGTGAGCCCATGCCAAATACAATTCCTGTTTTTCCTCAAGTTGTTTATCTTTGATATATGAGAAGTTATTAGAGATCTGATTTCTCTCTTAGCATTCCTATAATGGCTTTTCTGCCTCTGTATTTATCAGTGTTGCTACGAGCAACACATTCTAGCTTCATCTCCTTTATTAGTATCCACTTCAGCATATACTACATTCTAGAAGGATGRGTTTTAAGTGGTCCTTGTCCTCTTCTCCACCTCAATTCTGAATCTAGCTGGCAAGTAGAAAGTAATCCATATAAAAAGTGATAACTAATTGTGGAAGAATTTGTAATCAGGTTATACAGATTACAGTATGAAGCCCTCCAAATGAAGTTAAAGTATCTTACAAAAATCAACTTAAAATGGATTAAATACTTAAAATTYGACCCCAAAGAGTAAAAGTTCAGAAGAAAACACAGGGTCCTGACAACAAGCTTTTGTATTTGACACCAAAACCACAGGGAACAAAAGCAAAAATACACACGTGAAYTGTATGTAACTAAAAAGCTGATGCCCAACATAGAAGATAACAAAATGACAGGCAATCTCTGATATAGAATAAAATATTTGCAAAATGTATATCTGATAAAAAGGTAATATTTAAGAAACTCATATTACTCTTTACAAAAAAATACAAAATGGACAGAGGAACCACAGATATTTTTCAAAAGAAGAAAACAAATGGCCAGCRGGTACATGAAAACAAGTTCATTATCACTAATCTGAAGGGACATGCAAATTAAAACCACAAAGAAATACCATCTCTCTTTTATTAAAATGACTACTATCAAAAATACMGAAACAAATGTTGCTGTGTATGTAGATGTATATATAAATTATACACACATGTACACATGTATACATACATATGCTATATATATGCATGTATATCAGAATTTATGAAAGAATCTGAAATTGACAGCCTTGCTATGGTTGTTTTGTGGATAATAGATTCCTTAGTTGATGCTCATGGCACATGCAGTGACTCTTCCCAGGAATGGCTCACCAATTGAGTTTTTCTATCAGTTYTGCTAGAGGGAAGATGGTCTGCACAAAACCCAGTTCAGTCTAATCAGTTGCACAAAAAATGACCTGGAAAATTCCCTTGGCTCACATCTAAGTGCCTGTAAAGGCAAACCCGAGAGAAGGAATAGTGTTTATTATATAAGAAACTAATAACAAAATCTTAATTCATGAAAAAGTGATAAAAAATAATCATCAATTGTTGTCATAGATTTAAGTGTTTCATATTATTGCAAAAGTATTCCTTCCATTTTACATGTAAATTACTTCTTCTTTATATTGAGGTTGATTTAGTTGAAAACATATATCCTTCCTAGATGAAAACACTGACTTTTAATTTAGCATACTGAAATAAACAATGTCCACTTACCTTGGGGGTTGTTGGGAATAAAATAAGGTAAATATATTTTCTCAAGAAAAAGAGACAGGAACATTCTGGTGAGTGTTACTGAGTCACAGACAGTGATTCTGGGAGAAAATTTCAGCAAAAATATATAATACCTCAGGAACCAGGAATGTAGATCTTTTTCAACATTATATACTTTTTAAAAAGTATGTAGTAACTTCACAACAAATAGCTAAGCTTTCCTATCAATAGTGCCAGACCTCAATATGGYGATGTGATGATATGAAAATAAAATTCACTACTACTCTATAGTGACAGAAAGTAAGAAGAACTTGTTGAAATATAAAGCTAGAGTTCCATACCAAAAATAAGAAAAAATAGTATACAAACAATTTTTATGTGTGTACAGGGCAGAGGAATCCAAGTTGTCCTGACAAATGCTTCAGTGGGAATCTTTCAAACTTTAGGAGCAGAAGGGAGTTAAAAGTGTAGGTTGGTTTGTACTTGGTTTATTCTCTGGATGAATCCTCATGTTTGACATTCATTTGAACATTAATGGGATTRTATGTAGCAAAAGCATACAAGTAGACAGTCTAATAAGTCCAAATGTAATGAGGATTGGTATTAACTGATAAGTAGATACCACAAGTAGATTTGAAAGTAGAGTTGTGTGAGTGCTAAGAGAAAGCACTATGCAACAGCCTATATAGACACTAGAACAGAATGGGGGGAGGCACAGAAATGTGCATAGCCCCAGGGGTCACAATAAGGGGCTAAGAATGTAAGAAAAGACTAATAACATCACGATAGTTGTATTTTTAACATCATGATTCTTCTTTTAGTAGAGTTTTTCTTTTCTTTTTTTTTTTTTTGACAAAACTGTGCAAAAAAATTTAAGCTAAGGATGTTGATTATGGGAACAAAATCTATCAGATACTTCACTCCAGTTTTCTCTTTTATCTCCAAATTTTCAAATGCTCCCTTTTAGTCTTATGTCTTGTAATAATAGGCAATGTGTTTAATAATACATCATCATATGATCACATTATATAATATTATAAAATAATTGCATCACATGTCATATAATAGGATAATTAATTTAGCTAAGGGGGAATTAACTAGAAAATTATATTTATATTTCAAAGAGAACACCTTTCTTATGGGTCTTATGCTGGATTTATCAGTAATGTTGAAAGTATGCACATTGCTCCCGATAATAAATGAAGGAGGAGGAATGCCTTGTAAACCTTAAATGATAGAAAGCCCTCTCTCAGGGACACAACACACTAGGACAGCCATGATGTGAGATACATATGCAGTAGGAAAAAACCTGGGAGTGGGGGGAGCCATGACCTTTATAGACTTGAGAATCTTATGTTAAGAAAGCAATGTGAAAAGCAAGTCTGAACCCATGATGTTAACAAAGCTGAGAGCTGCTTGAGTGTGATCAGGAGAGGTGCAGACAGTAGGAATGAGCAAATTTTCATGACATTAGGTAAAACCTGGGAGACACAGACCAAAAGGAATAGTGAGCGACACTCTCTGAATTCTCAACAACTCCAATTCTTGCTACCCAGGCGCTGGTGAACAGTGGGGTGGTGTTGCTACAAAGGGATCTCAGAGGGGTGGTGTTGCTACAAAGGGATTATATGGCAAGGTCAAAGCCTAGCTGACTCCAGGAAAGAAAAAGTATGGAGTAAATAGAGCTGGGATGCAAATAGAGTTCAGAGACACACAAATGGGTGATTATGGAGAAGTCTTAATAGTCCCAGTACTGTGAGTGTGAGTGTGGTGGACACACAGAGATGACAATCAGTCTCTGCTAGCATGGACAGAAAGAAGTACATGAGTCAGTGAAGACATTGTGGGTGATAGGGAATTGCCCTGAACCACTGCAAGATACACCAAGAAAATGGTGATGGGAATCCAGCATTGTAGACAGGAACTTGGAAGAGCAAACACTGAAATATGAAAGACCAGATATGATGACAAAGGTCAACAGACATGGCAGATTTGTAAAAAGTTCTTTCTTCCTTCTTTGCYTCCTTCCTTCCTTTTCTTACTTCATCTCTGTCCATACCTCCCTCCAACCCTCTTTTCTTCCCTTTATTCCCATTTCTTTTCTTCCTTCTTCCTCTCTGTCCTTCTTTAGGCAGTTTTGGAGATCATGCTCATGCTTGCTTGATGAGTGCACTACTACTGAGCCCAACACTTCTATTTTGATTGGCAACAAAACCCTATGCCAGATAATAATTCATATGTGTGAGCTAATTCATTTAACAGCTATTCCCAAATCCCAGAGATTTCAGAATGGATRACAGTACTAAACTGAGAACTGAGCAGCAAACTTTGCAGGCTATTTTTAATGGACCTGGAAACATCAATGGAGGCAATATTAGTAGTAGCCAAGA